CGCTGGCAACGGCTGAGCTTGGGAGAGGAAAAAGGGTCTTTCCAAGTGCGGCAGTCCTGCTGCGTCCGTGCGAAAGGCTCCAGCCCCTGCGTGTGAATGCCCGAGCGCGCCCCGGCGGAGCAGCAGGCTGGGCCGTGCCAGGAGAGAAATCCTTTGTCCGGGGAGACGCACTGCTGCTGGTGAACACGCACTTAATAAAGGTGGTGGGGTGTTTTGGGTTTTTTTCCACCCTTGAGGGTTGCTGGCATCTGTGCAACACAGGGCAAGGGGAGGAGAGCACGGGTGACCTCACCGAAGCGTGAGCCCCCACCCCAGCAGCCAGCCCTGCCAAGCCCCCCGCCTGGCGAGGGCCACTGCAATAAATAAGGTCCAACCGAAGGCTTCACGAGCCAGCACCAGAGGAGGCCACTGCCTGGACAAGGGACCTTTGGGTCCTGGTGGCAGAAGGGCAGGGGGGGTCACGCAGAGCAGTGGGGGGCGGCAGGAGACAAGGCAAGGCTCTGCGTGTGCCAGCAAGGGTTACAGCGGCCACGGGAGCCAGGCTAGCGTGTGCCTCAGAAGCTGACAGAAGGGACACCACCACCACCACCACCGCCTGTGTTTTGTTCTTCAAGGAAAGGGCAGTGCTGACTTCATTGTAGAGCTTCAAAGGAATAATCTGAGCTACCCTTTAAACAGGCAAGGGAGGAAGCAAAGTTTATAATGTGCTAAAGAAGGCTGTAATTCCGCTCTGAAGTTCCCTACCAAGCAGATGAGGAACGAGCAAATAAGGACTCGGTACATGGGAAAACAGAGTTTATTACTGACATTACAGTGTACATTATGTTTTTACAATGCAGCTGACAGCCTTATACTTTTATTGATTTTTCTTCCCAAGTTAAATGTACAGGAACTGAATAATTACTACTGAGCTACAAGATGTCAGAAATACGCTAAGTGCTTTAACCAGGAGCAGTTTCCATGGGCTAAGCAGAGATTAAGATTTTAAAATCTTACCGGTACAGATTCGCACACCTCATTTCTTTTGATCTGCGTTCAAAACTACGTGGGTTTTTTTTTTTTTTCCCCCCCTCCCTCAACTACCGTGGTCCAGTCTGGCAGGAGAAGTGCAGTATTTACAGACAGGCCTTTGCTCTCGGACGTGCATCGGAGAGGGCGACATTTAGGTCGGTGTAACGGGGAACGCTCTGCCCGGGGCACTGCCTGGGGTTTGGCTCTGCAGGCACGGGAAGCAACGTGCATCCCATGAAAAAGAAGGGCTCCTTCAAAAGATCACTGATTTATAGACCCAACTCTTTGGGGGGCCAAAAAGAGAGCAGGTAATTGGCTTTGAAGTGGGGTAGGGAAGAGGCGTCTTGTTCATCCTGGAGGGGAGGCCAACCTCTCTGCGCCCCGAGCCGTCTCGTCACCGATAGCCAAATACCTGCACCAGTTCCTCTCCAAAGTCATTATTTTCAACCTGTTCCGCCCACTGACATTCCTAAAAGATAACTTTCCTAAAAGAGAACCCGTCTCCTTCACCCCTGAGGCTCTCCGTGCTCTCCCACCAGCCGTGGGCAGCGGTCGCTCCCCACAGGGAAGCCGAACGTCCTGGCTCCGCTGCTGGGCTGAGCCCCGACGCGCCACCGAGGAAAGCAGTAAATGTTATAAGGCACCTTTTAGCTCAGTACTTAGGAAATACGCGCGGAGCTGCTCGGATATCCCCAGGGCACTCGCCCAAAGGCTCGTCACCCAGCGGTGCTGGAGTAGCGCGGGGGCGAAGCCACAGCCGCGGCTTGCAAAAGGGGCACC